TATAATTAAAGAGGAAATGCTTGCTTTGTGTGTGCATTTGTGTGTGTGTGTGTGTGTTTGTTTGAGTAAATGTTCAGGTATCTGTACGTGCACGTATATGTGAATGAAAACTAACTAACAAATATGCCCTTGCTGTATTTTTTCAAAGCTAAGCACCTCTGTCCACCTATTTCTGTTTTAAGAGCTTAATTGTAATTTTAACGGGGATGCAATTCTCTGTCCCTATAGGACTGAGAAATCCACCTTTACAGCATATTTTGCTGGTAACAGTGCTGATCAGGGCTGCAGCACCACGGAGAAGAAACGGAGGTAAAGTGGGTCAGATGGATGTGGTTGTGATTCAGTGATGTCAGTAGAGAGAGGTGAGATTGGAGACAGTGTGAGATGTGAGAAAGACATGGTCTTGTTGCTCAGCCAAGATCTTGCCTGAAAAAAAATGTGGGTGGTATTGTGCATTTTCATAGGTGTAGAGGAACAGTCAGTGCCACCATATTATGGATTATGGAGCATTATGGATGTCCCTGTGGGGGAGACTGGGGATTTCGGGAATGGGGATGGAGTGAAAGCACGTGCACTTTTCCTACCAACAGGGGGCAGTGGAGCTGCAGCTGTGTGCCCACCTATCCTTGTGCTGAGGGAGAGGCTTACTCCCTCTGGTGAGCATTCCCTTCACAGTCTCACTCATGGGCATGCCAGTGTACAACCAGCATACTGTAGTGACATTTGAAATGAACACCAGCCGACCAGTGTTCATGGTACATGAACGTGCTGGGTGGTGGAACATATGCATGTGTGTGCGTGCGCATGTGTTGGCGTGTGATCACACTCATTTGCATACCAAGGTGGCCAGGGCTCAAGTGTACCACACTCCAAAGTCCTCCTGCAGACTCGGGGATGTGCACAAGTGTCCCCCAGTGTCGGGACAATTATGAGATTTGATGACGTGCATGTGAGAACAGGACACGCTGCTGCTCTGCATATGGAACCATCCTTCTTGTGTTCAGCCAAAATGTCACACATTTGCTGGGTATATGGATTGGATTACTCTTTCTTTTTATGATGCATCTTCTCTTTCGTCGAGAATAGCTTTGCAGACACAACTTTCAGTCTCTCAGACTTACATGCACAGAAACCTTCACGGGAGGGATGGAAGTGAAAGCCTTGCAGTCCGTCATGTGGAGCTCACAGAGATATAGGAGGGAACATGGATAGAGTAACCTGTCCTATTGTTTCCCTTGGGTGCGCCCTTGTGGAGCTCCCCACCAATCCTTTGTGTCTGCATTGGGAGGGGAAGCTATCTGTATCATGAGAAACAGGATCACCTGAGCAGAGAATGAGCAGATTCTCTCACTTTCTCACCTTTGCTGTCACTTTTTTCTGTCCCTAATGCCTTTCTTTTAATTCGTATTTCCCTTTTTTCTTTCATTACCTTGCTTCGCTCAACAGATGACTCATATATGTCAGGCGGAGGTCTGGCCATCCCAAAATCCACCTTCATTGCCCTTTTATTCATCTCCCACCCCTCCAGTTGTCTAAATGTTTGCAGATGAACACTAATAGTCTCCTCTCTCTGTGGATGACACACTAATTAATCAAGCACACCATGCTGGCCAATCCAGTAATGGCCAACAGCTTTCTAGCACGCAGCTAGCTGGCAATAACCAGTTTGTACAACCCTGAAGGGCTGTGAGTTCACTACTGTATGTATGTGAGTGTGCAGCAGTTGTCCCTGGGTGGAAACATTGTAATACCACCAGTTTGTCAATTTGTGTGTCTGTGCGTAGGGTTGTGTACAGTATGTACACTCATTTAGTGTAACATAATGTGTTTATGGCCCCCTGTTGAATGGGTCAGACTCTGCTATGAAGCTGCTCATGCTATAGTAGTATATGGTGGAGATATTATGCAGTCTGGGCTCCCTCTCCCCTCCGAAGGTTATTGGACCCTTGCCTCACATCAAATGTGTTCTACTTTTTGGTAAACCTCTCCCTCTCTATCTCTCCCTCTGCTTTTTTCCCCCTATCTCTGGCACACCGTATCTTTCATCACATCTCTCACAAACAGCAAACAGAAAACAGAAAACAGAAAATTGAACTTGATAATAATTGTGATCGAATAACTGTACACAATATCCCGGGATTTCCAGCCCTCCTTTACAGCATTATTTAGTTTGATCAGTTGTTTGAGAAGAGGCTATTAGTATGCACATCCTATCGGAGCCTGCAGTTGCAGGCGATTGCTATCTGTTGGATGGTACATTCGTGTTATCTAACAGGACTCTTTGATAATTCTTGCCTTGCTGAACATTCCACAAACATCCAGAAGACAAGGAGGTGTTTTAAATTTTGTTTATCCAGTTGATTGAATTTTACAACGTGGTGGTTGTTTGGGCCAACGCATGTAAATATGCACATAAAGCACCCGTTCACGCGCGCACGCTAACACACAAGCTCAAACACAAACTAGGGAGACTTCTCATTAATTTCTTTGCAGGGTAGAGGGAGAGAGGGATGTAGGCCGTGAAGGACTGGAGAAGGATTGATGGGAAGCAGGGAGGTACAGGCAAGGTGATTAAAAACTCAAGCTACAGATGTTTCTGGAACACTTCAAAGTGGTGCGCCTGCCACTGCCAGCGCTGGGCATGATGCATTATTGAGATGGTGCCCACCTGGCACCTGGCGCTGACATCACATGCCCGGTCCACCTGGCACCATGCAGTCACGTGGGTGACACTCTGGGTCACACCTCCCCACACAAACCCAGCTCCCAGTGTGTTGAAGGGCATCAGGGAAAATGGCACACATGCTCGACACGGACCTCAAAGGCATTAAACTGGGGCAAGTGCAGTTTGCTAACTTAGCTTCATGAATGAAAAGTGAGGAGACAGGGAAATGTTCTTGTGACGCGTTGCAATGCATTTCCTCTTACTTTGCTTGTGTATTCATTGAGATGTGGCCAGGTGCGACTATTTCTTTCCTAACTACAGAATTTATACCTTAAAAATAACTTTATTTCCTGTTATGTTCACGCAATATCGTGTTGCATGCAGTGGGAAGATGAATGGACATTCGATGACACACTACAATAATGTAATTTCCTATGCAATAAATTATTAAAATGCAATGAGGATAATTCAGTAGAGTCTTAAGAGGAAAGCCTGGGAATCTTTCTGGAATGTCTTTGGCTTTGAAGTAGCCTACGGTGTGGTGTTGATGCAATTCCTTCTGCTTAATATTTCAGAAGCCCCCTCAACCTTATATAAAGAATATTTAGAGGTCACATACTGTGTTTGTGTGCGTGCATGAGTAGCTGTGTGTGTGTTCCTCCTGCATGTGTCCCCTGACACCTGTACTCTCTCAGGGTGTGAGGAACAGACAGAGGCCAGAGCCACAGTCACAGGTCTCAGACCAGTGGGGTGTGAAATGAAGCAGAGGGCCAACACACTCCCCCCCCCGCTGTACACACACACACACACACACACACACACACTGTGCGGTCACTGTGCGGTTGTGTTTGTGTGACGTGTATATGTGTGTGTGAGAGAGAGCACTGGAAAGCACACAGAAAAAGGAAGAAGAGGGGACAGAGACAAGAAACTCTGTAAGACTTTCTGGAGAGAGATGGTGTTTGCCGTAATGGCTGTTTAGCTTCATTTACTGCAGGATTAAGGCTGGATTACCAACTAATGCACACAACTGCCCCGACTCTCCCCAGGTGCCCCACAGGATCGTTGCATGTCAATTGCTTTTGGTAATTTCATTACTTTCAAATTTGTTAGGGAATTTGCACCACAAAAGTACAGGGACTCCATGTCGAAATGTTTATAGGCTTTAGTATTTAATTTCACAATATACTCACATGATGTATATTCATAATTAGTTAGTTGTGTTAAAATGACCACAAGTTAACTTAAATAAAGTGTTTTTGCAGCATAGGACTACTGGTTGACTAAATATACAGTATGTTCTTTCACACCCATCAGCCAGTATTATGGCTCTGCTTTACCTGCTATCATAAGTACCGCCCTGTTACGTCCCTTTATGATGAGACACAAACATCAGTATGCTGTTTGACGCTAGCGAGTAAGGAGCAGGGAGAAGTTAAAGCTCCACTTCGTCGTTATGGGTATTTGGAGTAAACGGGGCACACAGGCCTACACGTTGTACCGAGGCCAGTAGGCTGGGGGGGGGGGTCAGAACAGTACGTTTTTGCTCCACGGCCCCGTAACAGGTTAGTCTGGCCACAGTCATGGGGAATTCAGCTTGCAGCATGACACATCACCAAAGAGAAAAATGTGTTTTGTTTATTATTACTTCACTTGGATGTACAGTGTGCATAAATCATTTTATACTAAAGGATTTTTTTCACATTCATCTCGAAGGAAAGTTCAAGACATGTATGTGCAAGATGATTTTGTGACAGTTTGGAGGCCAATTGTCAAAAAAAAACAACACTTTTGAATTGATTAATAACTGTATATTCATAGATTCTAAATGATCTAATGATGCTGAAGGAGTATGTCTAATTTAAGAACTTAAACTTCACCTTATCTGTGGAAAAAACACAACAGCCACAGTTCAAAGAGTAGCCTATGTGTCTTACAACACGTCTGGAGGGGATCTTTAACAAAAGGTGTCAACATCTTAATACTGATTGAATTTGAACTGGTGAAAAACAGTGAACAAAACATATTTCTATTTTCAACAAGGCCTTAATTTCTGGTTTTTCATACATTGATGCTGTAGAATGTTGCATATTGCTCTTAAATAATACGGCTTGAAGGTGTATTTAGTTTATTTGGCTTTAACCTCTCTTGATCACAACCTGCAACTTTTCTGAAAAAAACCCCGCAAAGATGCTCCAGCAACGAGAAACAGGGCGGCAGCACAGAGCACATCCGGCTCTCTGGTTGGCTGGATCCGCTGTCAATCATCCCCGACGGCTCCGCAGCACCGCCCACAGACGCACAGCGGCAGCGCAATTTCAACCGACAATGATTTCCCAGGCACTTGCGGCTTGTCTGCGGCGATAGGAGAAAAGAGGAGAGAAAGAGAGAACCTCACCTCCTCAAACAGCGAGTGAGGTAGAGGGAAAAGAGACAGAACGCGTCAGAGAGAGAGAGAGAGAGAGAGAGAGAGAGGGGAAAAGAAGAGGCTGTGGAGTAAAAGGAAAGACAACAGCGGCTTTGGACCTCCAGCAAGGAGTGTTTAATTGTCTGCGCTTTATTGTAAAGTGTCCAATTTCCACACAGATTCGACATGTCATCGTCCGGTAAAGACAACAGCGGTGCCCAACACGCCAATTACGTGGGACCTTACCGTTTGGAGAAGACGCTCGGGAAAGGACAGACAGGTTAGTTGGGACAGCTTTGCTCGTTGCAACCCCCTCTTTTAATTGCACAATTTGTTTTCGGGAGCGCTCAGCAGCGAGTTGAAATTTGGCCGGCTGTGTGTTCTGCAGGTGATAAATAACTAACCGCTTAGTTACAAACACCTGCCAAGCCTTGTGGGGAATTATTTTTCATTTTTTTGGTAGGGGGGGGTGTTGTTATGTGTTCGGCGAGCTGACATGATCATTGCTCACGCGGTGGGACGAGGGGTTGTGGATTTAGGTGATGTTGCTTTACGGTGGTTTGTTGCTTGTGCGTTGGCGTTGGACTGGGTGTGTGTGTGTGTGTGTGTGCATCCAGGAGCAGCAGAGCAACGTGGACACAGTCCAACGCCGAAAACGATGACAGAGCGATGGGCAATGAAAATGAACTTTTTGTGTGTCCCCTGTGTGTGTGTGTGTGTGTGCGTGTGTGTCCTGTGACTGGAACACAACGCCGTTAATCCCGATTTGCCTGATACATTGATCTATTCTTAGTCTGCAGGCAGGGAGGCAAGCAGGCAGGCGTTTCTCCTCACACTGCAATACGTTGGGTTTCCTCCGATGTGGAGTCGCGGGTCCAACCTTGACAGATTACATATTATGGGGCTGCTCACATGAGCTGGAATAGAGCTACGCTGTTCTACATTCATTCACCCCAGGGGATGTAACTGGGCTTCCTTAATAAGGAGCACATGCTTTATCTCAGCAGAGACAGCCATGACACTGCAGTTTGTCAAAGTTGCGTTGCACATGTGCACATTATTGCTTAAAAGAGGACTTTATTCTCTTAATATTTCATGCTATTTTATCCCGGTGTGGTTTGTTTGTGTGTGTGTGTGTGTGTGTGTGTGTCTTATACAGCAGCGTTATCAGCCTGAGTATAGTGAGAATCCTTCTGCAGCCAGTGGAGCCATGTGAAAGGAGAGGCAGGCACAGCCCTGTGTAGGCAGAGATGGCAGGGGTGATGCAGCATGCTCCGTAAGCTCACCACCCTTAAACACACACAGAGAGAGAGACTCTTCTACCCTCTCCGCTGAAAGATTTTCCTCCCATCTGTTGTCTAAAACGGCTACAATAGGCGTTGCGTCCCCTACCCGGTCCAGCTGGTCACGCTGAGCAGCCGTGGGTGCGTGTAAATGTAATGTGTGTTCTCTCAAACAGTATGCTTTCCTGAAATATTCTCCTCTGTCACTTCATACACCTGGCGAGTCCCCAGTGTTCATTAATGGAGTTTGTCTCTTTGCCATCCCCTGGTGTCAGTGTGTGTGTGTAGGTGTGTGTGTGTGTACCTTCATCATAACTGATGCCCCTCTTTGACTGTTGGGACAGTGCAGGAACATTTGAGTCAGGCTGCGCAAATCCCAAAACATGTTGCGTCCATCCTCGGTGTAGCTCCACTCTGCAGCGTGGTGATGACCGTGGTGTGATCTGACGGTGTGATGTTGCAGGCTACCTTCCAGTTGGTGCTTTCATAACAAAAGCAGTATTAAAACACGCGGGCTCGTCTCCCCTTTTCTCCTGCTACTCCTGTTTAATCATGTGTGTTTACAGGAGGCGCTCTCATTCACAGCCAGACTCTGCTCTCGTTCAGATAGCGCTCACGAGCGTCTAATGGCTGTTTATGGTGGTATTGAGCTGGCACTGTGGTCCGCTGGGTATAATGATACGGTGTCTCTGAGATCATTCACGGAGTGTTGAGGCAGGTTGGGATGCATTTTTCAAAGCCATGGAAGCATAGTAAGCTACAGGTCAGCGTGGATCATGGCTTGTGTGAAGCAGCTTGGCCCTCACGTGGCTTCAGCGGTGTTTCACTTAGAGGGAAATTTCTGATGAGAAGATATTCATTTTGAATGCTCTGTGTCTGGTTTTTCTATTACGTGTCCACGTTTCAAATGTGCAGCAGTAACGAGGCCCAGCATTATTTGTGTGTTCTGTGTTAGAAAAAGAATTTGGCTACTGGCATCTGGGCAGCTAGTCCACGCCAAACCTATTCAGATTAACGACATCATATCCCATTCACTCATTAACCATTTGTTAAGGGGTCAGATCTCTTTCCCGGGGCCCACGGAAAGGGTTGGCCTGGCAACTGTGAGCGTCCAATGGGCCGGGCTCGATCGTGAGTGGCAGCTGGGACCGTCCAGTGGGCTAAATCCCCCGTGAGCTTTCCCAGGCTGCGTTTGGCTGGTATTATTAGAAGGGAGAAAGCGGAAGGCCTCTGGTGGATCTGGCTGTCCTGCTCAGAGGAGTGGTGTTCATTAAGTGATTAGACTTTGTCCTGAGACACACACACATGGCCACCACAGTGGTTCTGGTTTGGCTTCCTGATCTAATCCCCTGCACAGCCAAAGTCTCCTCGGCTCTCACTCACGCACTCACGTGGCCCAAAGGTAGTGTGGGCTGGCCCACTCTAGCTTAGCAACTTAGCACCTCAGTGTTACTGTAGAAATCCAAATGCATGCTTCCATGGACAGTTCTACTACGATGTATAGCGCACAGTTTAAACAGTAGGATGCATCTTTTTACCTTTTTTTTTTTAAGTCAGTATACATGAGAAAATATTTACTCAGTGTGTAGCAGACTTGTCATGTGTACAACAATTTCCTCTTTGTCAGGTGTGCATTGGGGCCTGATAGGGTCTATAGATATGGAGTGCATGCATGGCTGGCTACTGATTGGGTCTAAAGCCCCAGAAACATCGAGGCCATTTTCAAGCCAAAAAGTGAATGTGCTTGAATGGCAGAACCTGTGGGATGATTGGGTCCTGCACTGCATGGGGTATGACAACAGCTGAGCAGCTTCCTCATAGCTCTCGCACTGTCGCACTGCGAAATTGCCAATCAGCTTCTATTTGTAGCCGACCCTGAATTAGCCCCATGTGTTCTGTGTTAGGCTGTCTCATTGACTTTATTGGCCTCACAAGCCTCTAATCGACGGCAAGACGCGACGGCAACTTGACAACCGAGTTAACATTTATTAAAACTTAGAACTCCCTTGGAATGTCTCCATCACAGTGGGGTTTATAGTAACAGACTTCATGCGTTTCACAATCTTTGGCTTTGTCAAACAAAGCTGAAGATTGTGGATTTTAGTTTTTGCCAGTGCAATGACTTAAGACGGGCTGAATCACCTCTCTGTTCCACTAATGCGTTGGAAAACACTGACGTGCTTTGCCGTTACTTTGTTCCTGAAGGCTGTTGATTGGTGGAATAGAGGCCTATTGTGTGGAAAACACTGCCTGCTAATCCAGTGTAAGTCCCTGTTTTTTTTTTTTTTGCGAGCGAGACTTGGATATTGACAGGCTAAACGTTGGAGGTTGATGTGTAGGCTCCTTGATTCTTTGATTGACGTGTAGTGAGTGAAATCATCTGTGCTTTGGGGGCTTTCATATTGACTGTTCATCTGACAAAAAGCTGCCTGTGATGGTGTGTCTTGCTCCCTCTTTCTCTGTTCAGCGCTCTCTGTTTCTGTGTTTCTGCTGGAGAGTTCTTGTTCTGGGTTCACCGGGCTTACCAGGCATTTAAGCCAGCATCCAGCCGTTTCTGTTATCCCCCTGTCAGCAAAGGGCCGGCCTGTTTGTAACTCTTACCGTGGGCTCCGCCGTTGTAGCGTAAGAAACGGTGGAAGAACAGCTCTCGTTTGTCTTTCTTTTCATTTATTTACACATACACACAGGTGACATTAACCGGACTGTTCTGGGAGTCTGATCTATTGCACGGTAACGTAAAACCACTAATTCGACGTTGATTTATAGCCGGTGAGCCGGGCATGTTTGATTCCGATCAATGGGCACTCCCAAAGATTTCCTGTCTGGAGGAAGAGATCCATACTGTTTCGCGGCACATGATATTCCTGATGATGACAAGTGAGTGGGCAATGCTCACTCGATGCTGTCAATGAAAAACCACTTGGCAAATCCACCGAAACTCGAGGCCTCTGCGTGCACATGAGTGTGTGTTGCTTGTGAGCGGTGCAGGTGGTCAAACTCCCGGTGACCTGTTGCCTCTGTGCCATTAGCATAATCTTGATACCCGCGTCGAGCTCAAACACAGGTGTCTATCTCCCCTGTGTTCGCAAAGATTACCCAGAAAAAGTTGGCAGCTTTGACCTAAAATTGTCGAGTGAGGGAAATAAATGAAAGGCTGCGATGATAGACCCGAGTTCCAGAGGGACTCTCCAGAGATCGTAGTCGGAGGAGCCCTGACCCAGTGGCTGTGCCGCGTTGCTCCCAGCTGGGTAGCGTGGAAGCCAAGCCTGCGTGATCTCAGCTGTCCCACTGTCTGGCCTCTGGTCTCTGTGCCTCAGCTGGTGTACGTGTTGTCTGCGTGTGCACTTTTACGAATGTTTAACTCCTAATGTGTATGCATGCAAGTAAGAGCGTTGTGGCATCCGCGTTACAGAGAATTCTGTTGGTGTGGCTTAAACTATGCATTGAGTAAATTGAACCAGGACTTGGACTGTAGTCTGTGACTTTTTGCTGAAGTTATGTAATGATGATGGTCTCTGTCATTTAGTGCTCCGCTCCTCTCCTCTCCTCCGCCTCACGCCCTCACTCTGTCCCTCTTCCCCTGGCCAGTCAAGATTCATACAGGGATTCAGCCATGTGGTAAATCAGACAAGACCTCTGTGGAATTGCATCGATTGGGAGGAATGTATGTAGCCAATGATTTTCAGAGATTAATGATGAGGAAAGAGGTGGAGAACTGGGAGGAGGGGTGGAAAGAGAATGATGAAGGCAAAGGAGGAGGAGTAGAAGGAAGAAAAAAAAAAAAAAGGCTTGAATTGAGTGAGCGTGAAGCGATCCTGAATGTTCTGACTGCAGTGGAGGTTATTAATTAAGGCAAAGTATTGATCATTCTCTTCATTATCCTCCCCTCCTCCCTGATTTTCATCTCTCTATTGGTGACCTCCAGAGGAGGAAAAGGGCTCAATCTTTAGATGCGAGGTCAGTGAATAAGTGAAGGATTGCTGGGAACGGTCTTAGT